TTAATGAAAGCAATTCCTGATTTGAAAGGAATGTATCTATGCAAAGATAAAGCAAGCAGTCTTTGTAATGCATTGAACATTTTTGATGATAGAATAGAAAAAATGAATTCAATATATCACCAGAAATATAGAAATGAAGAGATTCTATCATTCTACTATAGTTGAGATAGTTCATATTTTCAATATTTAAGATTTCAATTAAATATAGGTCATCAATTCACATGTTAATATAAACGTATCTGTGTAGCAACAAGGAAGTGTAAAGAATAAACTGATATTTTAAAATGCAAGAGCATCCTGAGCTTATCTCAAATGAAGAATTGGTGTTAGCTGGAATTAAATGTCTTCAGTAGCTTTTTTCTTTTTCTTTTTCTTTGTAGTTTTCATCAGTTTTTAACAGTTGATTTTTGGACCACATTTATTTCTACTACACTTCTTTGTCCATCTCCCATGCTCTTTGCTTCTCTTCAGACAAGAAAAAATAGGGAAAATAGTTAGAGTTTTGATATTTGCAAGAATCAAAATAGTTTTGCTTAATGAACAAAAGTATATAAATGAGGTTAAGGGAGATAAAAAACGTTCTGGAAATTCTTATCAAGTAATTGAGAACATCTTGAAGTTTTATCAGGCTTGTATTACCTTTTCGAAGTGTTTGATCTTTGTTTAAGCCAATTTTAATTTGACTTTATTCCTAGTGATCCAACATTTTATATTTTTAATCTTCTTACTCTCTTTTTAATAATTATGGCTTCATATTGTAAAGGCCTCTATAATTTACAAAGCACACTACCATGCTTTATTGTCTCTGGCCCTAACAAACACCCTCAAAGGAAGATAGGAAAGAAATTATTATTATCATTTTGAAGTTGCAATAGCTGAGACCCAGAGAGGCTAAGTGGAATGCTTAGTGATACCCAGTAAGCAGCATGACTGAGTTTCCTTCCCCCACCCCTGTCTTTCTCCTCTGTTACTTGCTAGCTTTTACTTATGCTTTCTTTTATTAATTCAATTAAATGCTATCTATTATGTTCCAGCCACTGCTTATGTGCTGTAAAATTTGAAACTGAACAATACAGTTATAGTATTGCCCTCATGGAGATTACAGAGGAGTTGGTGAGACAATTAAACCAGTTAAAAACAGCCAAGCAAAGGTATAATTTAGAATTATGGTATGTGCTGTGAAGAAAAAGAACACAATTCTGTGAGTGAGAATAAGATGGGAATCTGCTATAGATTTGGTGATTAGAGAAAACCTCGCTGGGGAAGGAGCAATAAAGCTAAAGTAAAAAGGATATATAGGTGCCAGCCAGATAAGGGACTATGCTATATGTTTATCAGTCAGGATAGTCTAAATGATGCTGCAGTAACAGCCTCAAATTCTTTGTGGCTTGAAAGAATGAAAGTTTACTTCTCTCTCATGCTACATGTCCATAACAGGATGGCTGGGCACTCTATTTCATGGCATCCTCACACCAGGACCCAGACTCACAGAGCAGACAGTATTTAGGACATTGTCATTTTCCATGCCAAGAAGAGGGTATGTGGAATACCAAGCATTCACTTTTTATAGCTTTTACCTGGAAGGAATCCCATGCCACATTTCATGGATTAATACCAGTCACATGACCATATCTAATGCCAATTATATGGCCACATCTAATGTTAAGAGAACAGGTATGTGAAGTCCAACTTGCTCCAGTTTCCTAGCCTCCCTTGCAGCTAGTGGTGGTAATGTGACACTGTCTGGTCAAGGAAACCTAAGGGGAAGTCTGATGGGAGCATTTCTGAGTCAATTTTTGCTTTTCTATTAAGAGACAGGTTCAAGTGATACCTCTTCCTCCTTATTCCTGCCTTAAAGTGGATGCTATGCTGGAACTCCCTGGATATTTTGCTTAAGAATGATAAACCATACCTTGAAGATAGGGGACTATCAGGATGAAAAGAATCCTAATGACTTGATTTTGTAGCTGAACTAATGCAACCAACTACTCTTTCTGGATTTCTTGTTATGTGGGAAGAAATATGAAACAAATTTTCTAAGCCTGTCACTTGGATCTAGAAACATTTCTAGCTTATGTGTATGAGAGATGAACAGCCAAGAAACACCTTCCTCAGATAGTTCCTAGGACTAGGACAGCAATGCAGGAACCAAATAAAGTCCATCTTGCTTTGTTAGTTCTGGCTAGTAAAGCAGAGGAAAGAGACATCTCATATCCTATTGCTCTCTTCTAGCTCCCTGTACTTCCCGTTCTCCTTGGTACTAATTCTCCAGTTGCACACTTTCATTTCCTAGTTGCAATTGACCGCTTTTATCCTCTTCTTGAGTGTCTGAAATGACTGTAACTACTTCATGTGAATTATCATATACATGATTGAATTAGGTCAACTTCTAAGAGATATTTGAAAAAATCAGCGAGCTGCTTCATATTTTGTGTCAGCCTATGGAATTCTTCCCACACATAGTTTCCAGGATATGTGGCACAATTAGCACCAATTGACTTAGGAATTCCCCAGCTAGTGTGTTTGTACCTTTAAGTTATTGCTTCCCTGTGGCTTGATTTACACAGAGCCCCAAATCTTTTCAGGCTCTAGATTGTGAACTAGGTGAAACCTGATTGCTGAATAAAGTCTTGTCAGTAAAACACAAAGAAAGTTGGAGTATAAATGTTTGTCTTTATGACCATAAATTCTCCAAGAGTTCTCACTCTAAGTGGCTAAACTTCAGGCACCTGATTATAGAATTTTCTCCCAAAAGAGAATTTGCCTCTGGGAAACCTTACAACACCTCATTTTCTTGGTTTAGTACTCCCCCCAACCCAGCATACTCTGAGAGTCCTGCTGCCTAGGATTGCTAGCTTTGTTCTACTCATTTTGATCACTTTGTTTATCGTGGTTGCACGAATTATTATAGATTTTGAATAGGCAATGTTTTATTTCTCCTGTGCCCTGAAGTATTCAAATGTCTGTTATGCTTCTCCAAATAATATAGTTGTGGTCTTAAAATGAGAACCCATTCTGTTCTTTTAAAGCTGGTAGCTTTTACAAGTTTTCAAAAGTAAATCATGTGGATTTACTTTTCTTACACTTAATTTCATAAACCGGTTGCTCATGGAAAAAGGACATAAGGGTACTTTATAAACTCTAAGTCAGGGATTAAGAAAGCCTGTGTTGTAGGTGGTTGTCATTTTTGTTTAGGTAGGAGAAAAGTGAGGGCTTAAGAGTGCTCTGTATGGCTGCCCATTGCAACATATGAATCATCTTGTATTATTTGTCCTTTTTTGACTAATATGAAGGATAATGGAACTCCTTACTAGATGTCCTCTTTGACTTATTTTCCTCTTTGAATAGCAGAATGCCTAGTACACAATAGGCACCTAATAAATGTTCATTGGATGAATGAATGAGACAATTAAAGGTTTTGGAAACCTTACGCTTCACTTTTATAATTCCTCATTTATGAAACTCTCATTAGGTTAGGAATTAAAAGACCTGGTTTCTGGTTTTATATCCTGCCTCCAGTCTTTAACATGAGACTCATAATTCATCACAATTTAGTTTTAAGGTCCTAAAGAGATAACAAATAGTTTTAAACATTTAATTACCTTATAATTTCACACAGAATTGGGTCCTGAGCAGTATATACAAGAAACTGAAGTCATTGTTCCTGCCTTTGGGGAGATGCTAGTCTTGTTGGGTATAACAAAGCACAGTTCCACAAATATAAAAGGAGATGGAATGAGATGTGTGGGATGAACCTGGGATTTTTTTTCTAGAACATACAAGTATTATGTTGAAGAAGGGATTGGATATGGATAGCATAAAGGAATGGCATGTCTGTGAAGCATTTAAGTGGAATAAATCTGTCTTATAGATTAATGTTTATCAAATTTGGCAATATATAGAATAAATAGGGAAGCTTTAAAAAATATCATTGCATAGGCCACATCCCAGACCAGTTATATGAGAGTGGGGGTAAGGCTCAGGAATTGGTATAATTTTAAAAAGTCTTCCGAGGTGACTCCACTGCCTAGCCAAATTTGAGAACAAATATTCCAAAGCTGTGCTTCTGAAACTTTAATCACTTGGAGATTTTGTGAAATGCAGAATCTGATCTAGTAGTTATGAGGTGGAGCCTGAGATTCTGCATTTCTAACAAGCCCCCAGATGATACTGACACTCCCAGAACAAGAACCACACTTTGAATAGTTATTTTCTAAACTATATATAAATACACATGTCAGGTAGTAAAAGGAAGGACATGGCAACAGCATTTATTTAGTACCTATGTGCCAGAAATCATGTTGGCAACTTTACCTATATTATGTCATTTAATCTTAAAAACAGAAAATAATATAATAAGAATATTATTACCCCCATTTTAGAAATGGAGAGCCTCAGGTTGAGTGGGTAAATCATTGTCTAAGGTTGGACAGCTAATTCATGATGGAACCTGGATTCACACATTGGTATGTCTCACAACAAAGGCTATAGGTCATGGGAAATCTTTGAAAACCCTCAAATGGTAAGAAGAAGCTTTTAGATCTGAAATGACAGGCAGTGTTTTTGTAGCAAACTCTTCATCGGATTATCTAAGGAAATATCCCATGTTGTCAAGTTTGATTTTATACTCTTGTTTCAGGTAGTATATCTAGGCAAGTAAAGAACATGATATTGTGCATGCCTCTAGGCTGGGTTGTTCTCAAATGTTATGGTGTCAAAGATCTTGGAGAAGTTAGAGTTGAATGTGAATAAATACTAACAGCAAAATAGTAGTGCTCGTGAAGGATGTCAAAATTAAAATGTAAAACACAAACATGTTTTTCAACTACTGATGTCAAAAAATTGTTGATGCTGGAGGAATAAATTGTGTTTTCTGAAAGTGTTTGACTCTGGCTCCTAGGTTCTTTTAAATGGTTTTCCAAATGAAAATATCCCTTAAATAAAGATAGCTCAGCTCTTCTACTTGTTTGTTAAGTGAATTTTTCCCCCTCTCCTTCCAGGAAGCTGAAAAACGAACTCTTAGAAGCAAAACGTAGAAGTGGGAAGACTCAACAAGAGACCAGCAGAGTCTGTGTTCACTGTCAGAGAAACCTGGGTTTAATATTTGACCGGGGAAACCCATGTCAGGCCTGCTCACTGAGAGTCTGCAGCGAGTGTCGGGTCTCGGGCCTTGATGGCAGCTGGAAGTGCACTGTCTGTGCCAAAATCGCGTGAGTTTCTTGATTTTGCTTAGAAAGCCAGATTTGATGACTGAAGGGATGGAGTGGGGAAAGCAAGAAGGGAAAAGAGTATTTAAAATTTACGGATAGAATGTGGGATTAAAAGTATAGCCCAATCACAGGCTCAGCAAGGCCTTGGCTGGACTCTGGTGTGTGTGTGTGTGTGTGTGTGTGTGTGTGTGTGTGTGTGTGTGTGTGTGAGAGAGAGAGAGAGAGAGAGAGAGAATGAGAGAGAGAGGAATAGAGAAACAGAGACAGATACTGAGTCAGAGAGAACAGCATTTTTATTTTTTACACTATAATGTATAGTAAAATTAGAAGCCTGACAGAATGAGGTCTCTTTCTGCATTTGAAAACAACGGAGGATCTTTTAGAGCCCCACTTGGCTCTATATGGCTTCTCAGAAGGTAAAGATAATTACTCCGAGGCACTGAGACATTTACGGTAACTGGTAAGATAAATATGAAATATTCAGGCTACTCTGCCCACATCAGCTGAGGGACAAAACTGGAGTAACTCCTGAATTTTTGCCAACCTAGTTGTTGAGAAAGGGCGAAGGGAGAGAACCTTTTCATGTACCTCTGTGTTTAGCCTATTGGAGTACAGTAGTCATAGGTTTCACTATTCTAACCTGAGTGCAAGTCAAGAATCATTGTTTTCTAAGTTCAGTTAAACTGGAGTCTAAGCCTGATGTGTTCTCTACTACTGGATCCTACCAAACTCCGTCCTTTTGAGACGTCTCTCCTGGATCAACTGGTATATTTTCTCCCTCCCAAAGTCCCCTCATCTCTGCTTTTCTGGGAGGTGCCTAATAATCTCATCTCAAGGCAACTTTGTGTTGATCTATTTCCTGTGGCTGAGGTGGGAGGGGGGGTGCTGAAATCATTTCAGGGTTGGTTTAGTTTGTTTAAGTTTATCTTTTCCTCTCAGTAACACATTCGCTTACACTTATTAATAGGTTAAGTTAGGAGGCAAGTAAATAGTTAAGTAGTAAGAGTGAGTAACTTTCCATTTCCCACTTCTCTGAATAAGGGCTAGCGTGTTCTATTGAGGATTCTTATATTCAGTGATTGCATTATTTAATCTATGTTATTTTTCCTGTACTTTTTCATAAAGGTGATCTTGAATTGAGCAATTCATGCTATATTCCTAACTCTGGATTGAGATAAGCATTTCTGAAGAAATGAACCATTTAAGTTATTTTATTACTTTCTTTGGACACATTAATATACTTAAGTAACCATCTTTAATACTTTGTCCCACATAAATAAATTCCTTTTAGTACTTCCTTCCCCTAATTAGCAAACATCCTTTACATATCGGGGAGAGTAAACACTGATTTCAGAATCGTTGACATATGGGTTGCAACATAGTCTTTGTCAACGTTTTGTATTCTTTTTCTAAACTGAGTTTGGTCATCTGCAAATCAGGATGCACAAATAATACTGGATATCTTCTTATTTTTCCCATGAACTCAAAGTATTTACTTTGGATATTTCTCTATATACCTGTATAGAAAAAGTATCATTAATGCACTTTTCTTTCTACTTAAAAGTAATATGATATATCTGTGACTCAAGTAAGTAACGCAAAAGTCACTGTTTTAGACCCTGGACACTCCATAGAAAGTTTGTCTCAGTGTGAAGTAATGGGTTTCCCCAATTCTGATTTCCTTAATTTAGCACATCAGAGTTGAAAATAAAGGCTCTTACTACAATACAGTCAAATAATAAATGACAGAGAAAATAATAAATAAATTGGCAGACTGTCCTCAATTTTAATCTTGCTTTCATACAATTTTCCAGGAGTGTTGGTGCCTCAGTTTTTGGTAACCACAAATCAAATTAACAAGAAGCAAAGAAGTAGTCATAGGAAAACGTGGAGAGTAGTATACTTGTTTTTTTTATTTTTATGGATACACATGCACATGGCCTTTTTTTTTTTTTTTTTTTTTTTTACTAGAGTTAACTCACATACACAAAAGGGGACAAGTAAATGAACAAGTTTCTCCTTTTCAGCATTACTGATATTTTGGGAGAGATGATTCTTTGCTGGGAGAGAGGGAATGTCCTGTGCACTATAGGATGTTTAGCAGCATCCCTGGCCTCTCCCTGGTAGATTCCAGTAGCACCCTTCCCCCTTTACAGTTGCGACAATGAAAAATTCCTCCAGACATATCCCCTGAGGAGCAAAAGTTGCCCCTGGTTGAGAAGCACTGATGTACAGCTTGGTGAATTATCACAATATCTGTGTCACTATCCCTCAAGTGAAGAAATAAAACATCACTAACACCCCAGAAGCCTTTCTCATTCCTCCTCCCAATCACTGCTCCCTTCTTAGTCCCCAACTATAATCACTATCCTGCTAACACCATAGATTATATTTGATTTTTTTTTATACAACTGCTCCTCGACTTATGATAGGGCTACATCTGGATAAACCTATTGGAAGTTGAAAATATCATAAGTTGAAAATGAATGTAATACACCTAACCTACCGAACATTATAGCTTAGTCTAGCCTACCTTAAACGTGCTCAGAACACTTACATTAGCTTACAGTTGGGCAAAATCATCTAACACAAAGCCCATTTTATAATATAGTGTTTAATATTTCATGTAATTTATTACATGTATGTCCTTTGCACCATTGTAAAGTTGAAAAATCACAAGTAAAAACATTGTAAGTGGAGGACTGTCTGTACTTGATATAAATCAAATTATACACTGTGTATGTGTGTATAACTTATTTTGGTTAACATTATATTTGTGAGACTAATACATTTTTGCTGTATACAACAGTCTATTCATTTTCCCTGTTTTATGTTATGATATTACATTTTATAAATATATAAGCATTTATATACCATTCTATCATTAATGGATATTGGGATGTTTTCAGTTTTCACCTCTTACAAATAATGTTATTTTATTTTTTTGTGCATGTGTCTTAGTGAGCATGTGTATGTATTTCTATTGGATCTATACATAGGAATAAAATTCCTGGGTCATAGAATATGCATATGTTCAGTTTCAGTAAATGATGCAAAACAGTTTTCCAAAGAGGTTGTGCCACTTTACCCTCTTATTATCAATGCATGAGAGTCATAGTTACTTTACATTTTTACCATCACTGTGTGTTTTTTATTTTTTGCAATTTTGCTGAGATTGGAGTGGATTTAATTTGCATTTTCTTTATTACTAATGAAAATGAGAACAGTGTATTGAACACCCTTTTTGTGAAGAGCTAGTTCAAGTCTCTTTCTTATTTTTTCTATTGGGTTTTCTGTTTTTACTGACTGATTGGAAGGAATTAGTCATATATACTGCATACAAGCTTCTTCTCCCACCTTTTGACTTGTTTTTTCATTTGCTTAATTGTGCCATTTGATGAGCAGAAATCTCTAATTTTCAGTAACTCAATTTGTTCATCTGTTCTTGTATAATTAGTGGAATTTATTCTGTATCTTGATAAAGAAAACTTTCCCTAACTCCTACATTATGAAAATATTCTCCTACGTAATCTTCTGTAATTATCATTTTACCTTTTACTTTTAGACTTACAGTGTACATGGAATTAATTTTTGTGCGCTATATTTAGGGATTGTCACATTTTAATGTGGGTATTCACTTGACCCAACATTAATTGAAAAGGCCATCATTTATTCACTGCTCTATAGTGTAATTTTAAAAAATCAAGTGCCATTCCTGACCACTCCATTATGTTTCTAACATCGTGCCAATGCCACATTATTTTAATTATTTTAGGTTTATAATAAAATTTTATATCCAGTAGACCTGCCACTTTATTTTTATTCAAAATGCCCCAGCTATTTTTGGCCCTTGGTGTTTTCATATAAGTCTTAAAATCACCTTAACAATTTCCACAAACAAACATTCCTGGCATTTTTATCAGGATTGCATTAGATCAATAGATAATTTCACAGGAGAACTGACATCTTTCAATATTTAGTCTCAGTCCACAAACACTACGTACCACTCCATTTATTTAAGTCTTCTTTAATTTCTCTCAATAATATTTTATAGTTTTCTAGTACAAGACTTACACATTATTAGATTTATATCAAGTATTTAATTTTTATTATAGATAGTGTCCTTTTTAAATTTTTATTTTCTAATTGTTTGCTTTTGATATGCAATTGTAGAAATGTAATTGACTTGGGTAGTTTGACCTTGTATACAGTAATCTTGTTAAATCCACTTATTAATTATAACAGTTTGAGAAACTTTTCAGATTTTCTTTATACACAATCATGTCATCTATGAAATGTTTTGTTTCTTTTCTAACACATGTATTTTTATTTTTATTGCCACATTGCGTATTTGTTTTCAGTATTATTGAATTCTGCCTTGTTCTTTATTCCTTTCTTTCCTTTTACCATTTTTGGATTTAATTTATTTTTCATTGTCAATTAAAAAAATTTTTTTTTAATCCTCACCTGAGGATATTTTTCCCCCATTGCTTTTCAGAGAGAGTGGAAGGAAGAGAGAGAGAGAAGAAAAAAAACATTGATTTAAGAGAGGCACATTGATTGGTTGCCTCCCACACACGCCCTTACTGGGCCAGGGAGGGAGCCTGCAACCGAGGTATGTGCCCTTGGCCGGAATCGAGCCCGGCACCCTTCTGAGGGCCAGTGCTCTAAACACTGAGCCAAAACAGCTAGGACTCATTATCATTTTTTTATACAGGTGCTTAGGTACTTAGTTTTTCAGCTTTTGTTCTTTTCTGAAATATGTATTTAAGGGTTGAATTACCTTATTTTCACAGTTTGGCTGCATGCCACACATTTTTATATAAATTTTTAGATGCATTTAATTCTATTTTCTAATTTCTATTGTGATCTTTTTCTTTGAACATGAGTTATTGACAATTGTCTTCCTTAATTTCTGATTTCATGGGGAATTTCTGTATCTGTTTTTGATATTGAATTCCAGCTTAATTCTACTGTAGTAAGAGAGAATATTTTGTATA